TTTTATCTAGTGACAGTTTCTAGTAATGCCTTTTGGCAGCGTGCTACGTGCGACTCGGCGGATACTTTTTGATTGCCATTGGGGCGAAGTACAGATGAATAAGTTTCAGAGTATGGCAGGTGCGTCCGCCACTTGGCGTTCATGTCCCGTGATGTTTGCGTCGTGGCGATCGTGTCACTGACCCTGTCGCCTCCTGAGCAGGTGAACATGATGTCGGCGGCTATGTTGGCGTCGGCCTCCTCCATGGCGGGCACTATCTCGGACCTGGCGCCCGGCCTCAACGACGGCATGCGCATGCTGGAGGCGCGCGCGGCGCAGAAGTCGGCGGGCCGGCCGGACGACGGCGGCATCCTGTTCGTGCGTGGCACCGCCACCGAGGAGGAGACGGCCGTGGCCGAGGACGGTCGCGTCCAGAACCCGGCTGAGATCCAGCTGGACGAGGACGAGGATGACGATGAGGAAGAGGAGGAGACTGTCTCACAGCAAAGCGTGCCTGCACAGGTGTTTGGCAGCCTGGCCAAGCAGCACGAGGAGAAGGAGGAGGCGGGAGAGGAGTGATGGTGTTTCGTGAATTCTGTGTCGCTGATATGCATGCTGGGTGATGTGGCCGGCGAGCCACACCGTCGGTATTGCACTGTGCCACATACTTTTGCCTTCGAAGTGAGTGCCGTTTGTCCATTTTCGCATGGAATCATCAGGGAGCCAGCAGCGCGAAACGGTGCTTGTGGGATGACCCGACAGATACATTGCGTACGGCTGATGTACGTTTTGGCGTAAGTGCGCGATTATGTGGATGGCGGTCAGCAGATTATGCCGTACAGTTATTCCGATGGAAGGATGAACGCGGTGGCACGTTGTTGGCGAGGTATTTGACTGGTTGTAACCGAAAACTCGAGGTCGGCTAATACAGGTACGTATTTGCTTTTTGGCTCAGGTGTGCTGGTCTCACTGGTGAGCGTACGCTGGTCGTCATCTCCAGGGCGCAGACAAGCATGGCGGCATCGCGCCGAGCCAACTTTGCCGCCCAACTGCTGGCGTCGAGTGTGGAGAACGACACTGGCACCTGGAGACGGGTGGTTAGTGGTTGCGAACGCGAAGCATCTCACGGGCGCTGATTTTTACCAGGGAGGTGCGCTGTTCAGTCAGCGCCCGGAGTCAGCAGACTTCAAGCACCGCCGCGGCCTCTCCTGCTACAAGGAGGCTGCAGAATACGAGCGGGATGTCGTGACCGGGCCTGGTGGAGAGTCGCGTCGGCACCATGCGTTTTTGCCACGCGCTGTGATTGTGTCCAATTCGCGACACGTTGCTTACACGCAGCACCATTCCTGTGTAGACGAAACGCCGTTACCGGCGTGTAACGCCATCACTGCGTACATCGTGGCGCATCGTTCGTTATGCATGCCTTCATTTCCCCTGTAAACCGTGACACGTGACTTCTTGCCCGCAACACCACGTTTGTGTGCGTATCGCGATCCGTCGTTATGTAAGCGCACATGCGTTTCCGGCTAAACCGCCACCCTTCATTAAGCGCCGTGATCTACACAGGAAGGCCGCCGGTGTAAATTATGACGCATCCAAGTGTATCTATACGAAGCGACTCCCGCCCAGATCACTATGCATTGACATTTACATATGCGGTTATCTCGTCAGAGATCGTGCGGAAATCATCAGTGCGAAAACATTGCCGTCTGCCCTATGGATGGAAGTTAGATTCGTCGGTAAGGCAGGATCCGGTAATACTCAATGCCTGCCTTCTTTTGGCGCCTTTGTCGTTGAGACGTTCCGTTGGTGACCTTTCCATGCGTGACTTATATGGCGCACTGACCAAGTATCTGTTTGATCAGGCATGCGTGTAGCCACGCACCCAAGATTAGGGGATACTTAAGGATGAGGAATCACACTAGCCCGGAATGAACAGCGCGACCTAAAAACGTCAATTTGTAGCAGACAACCGGGAAAAGCATGCGGCCCACGGGCACGATGGAGGTCAGGTACAGCATCCTAGTTTGGGAAAATACGAGGCATGTCCCGTCCTGCTCAACAATAAGTTTCACTCAAGGCTCCACTCGCCGCATCAGGATGCCAGTGGTTCTCTTTACGTTTTCTGTACGTCTGAGCGAAGCGGGCTATAAGAACCGGGACTTTTGGAATGTTGGCGACTTCTAGAGACTTTCGGTGTCAATAATCTAACGGTTTCCAGGGTGGAGACGGCAAAAATCTGGAGAATCAGCTGGCAGCCAGGCAGGGTAACGAACAGCTGAGCAACACGGCCAGACCGGCAGACGGTGCGGAATTCAAAACGGATTTTGGGGGCACGCACATCGCTCTCGTTGTTTTCAGGTTGGTTTTTTGAGGAACAATATAAAATATGCACCTACCTGAGTTGCATAGTACCTTGGTTGGTATTCTTTGATCTGTATCTTTGTTTTATGTTCTAAATATTGTTACCTCCCAATGATGCCATGCATTTTGACTGCAGGTATCGACCATCTCCTCGTGCCAGGCACCGGCCTGGCTTTTGGGTACCTTAAACAGTGGCCTTGCCTGCAGTCAACAGTTACAGTATGTCAAGGTTTTGGGGAGGATCTCTCTCCATGCGACACTGAGTCAAAATTGATTCATGCTGTTTGCATTTGTACTTTGACACAGATTGATGTGGAGCACATTCACTGCAAAATTGCAATACATTGAAAGGCCCTGCATATCTGACTGTTTTTCTTAAAGTGAGATAGCCTTTGATTAACTTTGATTATGTAAAACATTCAAGTACAACCACAAATCCAATACAATGTCAGTACATCCCTATCCTGTTTAAAAATACAAAGTAAGTGAAGGTGATATAGACTATGAAAAACACTGCCACATGACAATTTTTTAACTGGATTACTAAAGTGCTTAACCTTGATAACCTTATCCAACCATCTAACCTACTCAGCTTAGCTTGTAGCTTGCAAGTTCTCATATCAGACCTTTGTGTATGGAGCAGAGTGATAAAATCCAGAAACCAAGCCTAAAAAAGAAAGGATCTGCTGTTTTATGGAGCTGAGGGTCCACTAAATTCCAAATGTGCCTTTTGTTCAGACTTGGATCTGCCATCATGTCTTGTTACACCAAGGAGCCTCACATTTAGATGAATTTAAAGTGAAGTGTGACATGCAAACATGTGCCTGGAGCTCCAAAAGATCTGTGTCTTATCCTAGGAGCTCATTAATATGGAAACCTATGGGGTCCTGGACCTACATTTGGGATCCAGCCACATGTCTGAAGAAAGGTGTCTCATTGCATTTTCACCATCTGGTATCTAACAAATAGTATAACTTGATATCATTCTTACCTGATTTTTGACATGCTATTTTCAGCTGTAGAACAAGAGACAGAGAGGGCACATGATGCAGTGTGCTGGCCAGCAGCTGTGTGCTGTGCTGCTGGTGCTGCTGTGTGCTGGGCAGCTGTGCCAGGCCAGCCTGCTTGGCTGGCTGTGGACCAGCGAGCCCCCGCCGGCCGCCGGGCCCGCCGGGCAGCCGGCCGCCGACGGCGCGCGGCCTGTACCGTTCGAGGTGCAGAGTGCTGACGACAAGTTCCTCTCGTCGGTGAAGAAGCTGGCGCCGATGGAGCTGTCCGAGCTGGACATGTGCCAGCACAAGGTGAGCGTCGCTGCCGCCACCGGCCGGCCCGGACTGGTCTCAAGCGGTTCGCGCCTTGGCACTCGGGCGCCACGACACTTTGCAGCCTCGGTTTGTTGCAGGCCATCGGGCTTGTCACCGTTGACACTGTGACAGTCGCTGCGCCACTGTGCTTCCAGGCTGCGCAGACCACGGCCTCGTTCCTGTACATACCTGTGCGGTGGCGTCTGGCGTAATGCAGGCGTCAGCGAAGATTGCCGTGACTGTTCTCACTGTTGTGCTTCTTACTGTATTCATGTTCGTTGCGCAGGCTATGAGCTGATATCACGTTCACGTGCAAAACTCGGTTATGTAATTAAAGTTCTGAAAAAGATTCATGGCATGCAGTATGAACGAATGCAATGTCTTCATGAATAGGGTTGCTGAAAGAGGACATTCACAATTGTAGGAGTGCTGGTAGTGTAGCGGTTGATGCATCTGCGTTAACCAATGCGCGTCTGGGAAACCAGGGGTACGGGGTTCGATTCCCCGCGGTGCCCGCCCTTCCCGCCAGGGTGAGAGGCAGGCGACGCCATAAAGCCTCAGCAGCTGAGTGCGTCGTAAAGTCCCAATGGCATGACACATTCACAATTGTAGGACTCAAGGTTTGTTGGGTAATTGAGATAATCGTGCAGTGCTGCATGACCGGTACAAAATGCGCGGCTACAGTCGCAGTTGTAGCTGCCTTCACTTACCTCCTCCATAATGCGCTCGCCTGCCTTCCAGATATTCCTGTCGCTGCACCAGTCGTGCAGTCAGCTGTCGGAGGAGGACATGGCGAAGGTCTCCGTGCAGCTCCTCAACTGCCAGTCCGAATCGGAGTCCAGGCCAGTGTATCCCTGCACTTCGGACATGGTGCGTCCTCAACCACGCTCGCCTTCTGGTTGTGCTATTATTGGCTAGATCACGCCAACGTTTATTTTACCAGCAACAGTCGAGTATCTTTTTTGGGGGTGTGTTTGTGTGAGACAGCCCAGGCCAATTTATATTGGCGTTGTTGCGGCGGAGCGCCCTAAAACACCACTAGCCAGCAATAGGCACGTCATGGGTCAGGCTCTTTACACACTTCAATCCAGAGACGTTTGTAACTGGATTCGGATGTCTGTTGTGTCAGCTGCCTCGAGTCCCAAACCTCTCGCGCCTATGCCACTCGCTCAGCGACGCCCCGCGTCCGGCAGACGATCGCGGCCTGCACGCGCCACATGGACGCGCACACCTGGAACGCCTACCACATCGTCTCGAACCGGGCGCGCGCCGTCTGCTACGCGGCGCGGCAGCAGCAGTTCCGCGCCTCCACCGAGCTGGCCGTGAACCGGCTGGCGGCGCAGACGTTCCGGCAGCTGGAGCAGATGCAGCTGCTGGAGGGCAGCCAGCAGGCGCTGGAGCGGCTGACGGCCGACACCATGGAGCGGGTGGCGCAAGGCCAGCAGGAGCTGCTCGGTCGGCACGAGCAGCTGCGCACCGCCCAGGTGGGACAGCCCATCCCGCGTCCTGGGAGGCGCCACACGACGCACGTGTGCGCAGGGGTTTGCGTTGCTTTGTTGCCTACGGCTCACGCAAGCGTTTTGGAACGTTTAGCTGTGTTAGAACATGTGTTTATCTGTTGTGTTATTGAAAGACGACCACAGCGCAGGGCATATGGTGGCAGCTGCTTATTTCAACGAGCTGAGAAAGCCAAGCCCCAGCGAATCTGCAGGCACACCTGGCGGCTCAACACATCGGGCGCGCCTTGCCTTGTTGCCCTGAATCCTCATCAAGCGTGGTGCCGTGCGGCATGTTCGCCTGAGACCGCGCGTCGTGCCGCAGTCGTCGATCCAGTCGCACGTGGCGGGTAACCTGCGCGAGCTGGGCCGCGTGCGCTCGGCCATCAGCGTGGGCCAGGCGGGCGTGGCGCACACGCTGGCCGAGATCCGCGCCGGCCTCGAGCGGGCCGGCCAGCAGCTGAGCCGCCAGGAGGAGGCCCGCAACCGCTCCCACCAGCAGCTGAGCGCCGACCTCGAGCTGATCCACCACAGCGCGCTGCAGCTGCTGCACCAGCTGGAGAGCGTCGGTATGCAGCTTCCGGCCGCGCTCCGCCCTGCCCCGGGCCCTCGCCGCCGTCTCTGTCGGTGCGCTGGCCCTCTGTCGGCTCAATCAGCCTAAAGCTGACGATGGCAGAAGCCAGCCGTGTGGCGTGGACCATTGCGGTGAACGTATCGCTCGTGAAGCGAACGGCAGGCCGCAACGCGCCGTGGACGTGTGGTGCATTGGTTCCATCCATGACCGCTGACAGGGCAATGCAGTCACGCACAGAGTGGAACATGCTCGCCAGTCGGAGCGTTGCGCCGTGCCGGGTGTCCTGCGCCGCCCCGTTACAATGACCGCCCGCCCCTGCCGCAGACGTGACGACGCGGGCGGTAGTGGGACGGTTCGACGCGCTGCTGGGCAGCCTGGGCCGCATGAACGGCACGATCGTGGCGCTGCTCTCGACCCTGGACGACACGCAGCGCCAGCTGGACCGCAAGCTCGGCTGGCTGGTCGACGTGCTCGGTGAGAGCCGGCCTGGCCAGGAGGCGCCTCGGGGCGCGCGTGGTGTCACCGCGCAGGTGCTGCCTGTCTGAGATGATCGATGCGACAGCCGCCTGGGTCATCTGCTGTTTTGCTTCTGTTGTTGGGTTCGCTGTGGTGTTAGTGACATTGTTTTGTGTCAGTGATGGTAGTATGATGGTGTCGTGTGAGGTTGGCGGGCAGGTGTCATGTCGTCGTCAATATCATCTCAGGAATGTAGGAATTTCGGGATCCAACCTCAACATCAGGGGCCCTCCAGTTGGGCTATGGCTGTGTCACGGCTAGTGGACCGTTGCCGTGTCAAGTGGATCTCACTGTTCCGTGTCCATACTAATGAACCATACTTAAGTAGCGGTGGATGTACTTGGAAGTTCTTGGAAGCACTTGGAGGTCTCGGGAGCGTTCTTTTTGTTGCTGTTCGACGCCATGGCCGCCTCTGCTGCGGAGAGCTCGTTTATCGAATGAGGTAGATTAAATGATTGCTTCGGTTATCAAGAGGTCAGTCTCTTCACAGTCTCACGGATGTTGTTAATTTTCTGATGATGGATTTATCGACGTTTGGCCCGATGTGGGATGCATTCATTGCATGTGTGATGTAGTTACGCGTCCTTTTTGATGCCTGCCGTCCCCGTCTCTCGTCTTCCCCTCCCCTCCAAACAGTGACCGGTACCGGGTGACGACCATGCTGATGCACCTGGGCTGACCTGTCCCCGTCTCCCCTCTGTCCCCTCAGGTGGTGACCTGCACCGGATGACGGCCGTGGTGCTGACCTGTCCCCGTCTCCCCTCTGTCCCCTCAGGTGGTGACCTGCACCGGGTGACGGCCGTGGTGCTGACCTGTCCCCGTCTCCCCTCTGTCCCCTCAGGTTGTGACCTGCACCGGATGACGACCGTGGTGCTGACCTGTCCCCGTCTCCCCTCTGTCCCCTCAGGTTGTGACCTGCACCGGATGACGGCCGTGGTGCTGACCTGTCCCCGTCTCCCCTCTGTCCCCTCAGGTTGTGACCTGCACCGGGTGACGGCCGTGGTGCTGACCTGTCCCCGTCTCCCCTCTGTCCCCTCAGGTTGTGACCTGCACCGGGTGACGGCCGTGGTGCTGACCTGTCCCCGTCTCCCCTCTGTCCCCTCAGGTTGTGACCTGCATCGGGTGACGACCGTGGTGCTGACCTGTCTCCATCTCCCCTCTGTCCCCTCAGGTGGTGACCTGCACCGGGTGACGGCCGTGGTGCTGACCTGTCCCCGTCTCCCCTGTGTCCCTTCAGGTGGTGACCTGCACCGGATGACGGCCGTGGTGCCGACCTGTTCCTGTCTCCCCTCTGTCCCCTCAGGTGGTGACCTGCACCGGATGACGGCCGTGGTGCTGACCTGTCCCCGTCTCCCCTCTGTCCCCTCAGGTGGTGACCTGCATCGGGTGACGGCCGTGGTGCTGACCTGTCCCCGTCTCCCCTCTGTCCCCTCAGGTGGTGACCTGCACCGGATGACGGCCGTTGTGCCGACCTGTCCCTGTCTCCCCTCTGTCCCCTCAGGCGGTGACCTGCACCGGGTGACGGCCGTGGTGCTGACCTGTCCCCGTCTCCCCTCTGTCCCCTCAGGTGGTGACCTGCACCGGGTGACGGCCGTGGTGCCGACCTGTCCCCGTCTCCCCTCTGTCCCCTCAGGTGGTGACCTGCACCGGGTGACGGCCGTGGTGCTGACCTGTCCCCGTCTCCCCTCTGTCCCCTCAGGTGGTGACCTGCACCGGGTGACGGCCATGGTGCTGACCTGTCTCCATCTCCCCTCTGTCCCCTCAGGTGGTGACCTGCACCGGATGACGACCGTGGTGCTGACCTGTCCCCGTCTCCCCCTCTGTCCCCTCAGGCGGTGACCTGCACCGGGTGACGGCCTTGGTGCTGACCTGTCCCCGTCTCCCCTCTGTCCCCTCAGGTGGTGACCTGCACCAGGTGACGGCCATGGTGCTGACCTATCCCCGTCTCCCCTCTGACCCCTCAGGTGGCGACCTGCACCAGGTGACGGCCGTTGTGCTGACCTGTCCCTGTCTCCCCTCTGTCCCCTCAGGTGGTGACCTGCACCGGGTGACGGTCGTGGTGCTGACCTGTCCCCGTCTCCCCTCTGTCCCCTCAGGTGGTGACCTGCACCGGATGACGGCCGTGGTGCTGACCTGTCCCCGTCTCCCCTCTGACCCCTCAGGTGGTGACCTGCACCGGGTGACGGCCGTGGTGCTGACCTGTCCCCATCTCCCCTCTGTCCCCTCAGGTGGTGACCTGCACCGGGTGACGACCGTGGTGCTGACCTGTCCCCGTCTCCCCTCTGTCCCCTCAGGTGGTGACCTGCACCGGGTGACGGCCGTGGTGCTGACCTGTCCCCGTCTCCCCTCTGTCCCCTCAGGCGGTGACCTGCACCGGGTGACGGCCATGCTGATGCACGTGGGCTACCTTCTGCTGGGCATGCTGCTGCTGGTGTTCCTGCAGGCGGCGTACGTCGTGAGGCTGGCGCTGCTGCTAGTGGTGCCGGCCAACCTGCTGTCGCTGCTGCAGTACGGCCCGCATCTGCAGTTCTCCGCCGTCACCACGCTGCTGGTCACGGTCGGCGTCGGTCAGTGCCGGCGGCGAGACTGCGCTCTGGCGCGACCACGCCGCGATACAGGCGGTGGCGCGGCGTCAACATGGCGACGTGGGGAGCGTGAAGACAGCATGAGATGGTGTCAAGCGGCCCGTCTCATGTTGTGGCAGCTCACCCCCGAGCTTTTTGGTCGTGTTTGCGGTCACTGACTCTCGCCTTTGTATTTCAAGCGCTTCATTTATGGCAGCCACTTTCGATGCGGTCAAAGGGCAATGCCATCACTGTAGTTCGTTCTCCCGAAGTCGGCCTGGGATCGGTTTAGTGTCAGGCAGGTCGAGTTGGGGAGGACACTCCGTAATGACTTCGGCGGAATGGCCGCAAGCGGTGCTGAGCGGCCACGGCGGCTAAGATTGTCGGCCTGTGGCAAAATCTGCCGGTGCGCATTGCTATATCGTGCATAACTGCGGCGACTGTGGAAACTCATCACATCTAATGCGGGGCCTGATGTGACGGTGAAAAGGCATGATACTGTGGATCTGCTCGCGCAGCGTCTCAGCATGTCTTAATGACTTGCCGATGTGTCCATTCCATGTATGAAAGTTGTGAAATAGTGGCTGTGCGTTGAATAACGTAACAAATTTGAAGCATGAAGAACTTGAAGCTGAGCGATCGCTTGTGCATCAACAGCCGTGCTCGTATATGTCTACAGATGATCTATAAAGTGTACATTTAAATGCTTGGCGCAGTTCGATCGTGCTTCAATCCTAGTCTCTTATGACCTGGCTGACCGTGATGCCTGACCTTGTTGACCCTGCCGTCTGACCCCGTCGGACCCGCTGCAGGGCATCAGCTGGTCGCCTGGCTCTATCGTCTGTACAGACGGAAGGCCGTCGACCGTAAGCCGCCGCTGGAGCTGCGCAGTCCCTGGGCTCCAGAGATGACCACCAATGCCACCCAGCCGGCCGACCTGTCCCGTCTGTCTACGCGAGGTTAGAGGCTTTTCTATGCCTGCGCGGGACCACCGTCTGTTCTTCATCCCCGCACGGGGTTAGCGTGTCACCCCGACCCCACACTGTCGGTGCAGGGCGCGGACCGCCGCACAGAGTCTGGTCTGGTCCGCACAGAGTCCGGTCCGGTCCACACAGAGTCCGGTCTGGTTCGCACAGAGTCCGGTCTGGTTCGCACAGAATCCGGTCTGATCCACACAGAGTCCGGTCTGGTCCGCACAGAGTCCGGTCTGGTCCGCACAGAGTCCGGTCTGGTCCGCACCCCACGCCCGCCTCGCTCACGACACGGACGGCTCGCGTCCGATTCTGAGTTGCCGCTGCCTGTCGGCGACATTTGTAGCGATGGACTGGCCGGACACGTCTCTGCGGCGCGGCTCTTCATCTGACCGACCCTCGCCCCGCCCCCAGACGTGAACTCGTCCGATTCGGAGCTGGAGACGGAGCCGGAGGCGGCCGGACCGACGCGCGCCGACAGCCTGGACAGCCTGAGCGGCTTCAGGGTGCCGCTCAGACCCGAGGTGGGCGTCGGGCACGGGTGTGATCATGCCGTCACTACATTGTGTTCGCATAATATTCCTTGCTTTCGGTCTGTATGTTTTCCTCTCGTCCCTAATCCCAATGTGGCCCGCCCCCTGCCCTTGAAGCCAGTCCCATCCCCTTTTAGTGTAGTGCTCTTTTAACAGGATTTGTTGCTCTTCATAACGGCTCCTCAAGCTTCTCCTTTTCCGTGTTTTTCCGCGCATTTATTTTGCTGTTCCCACATTTTTTGCTATCGCTTCCACATTCTTGTTTTCTGCTGCATTTAATCACTGCTATCACGTACCCAAGTTGCCTTGTTGAAAAACCATATGAAGTGCTCCTGATCGACACCGCAGCACAGCTGGAAGGCTGTCAGCTGATACCAGAATGTAGTTATTTTGCGGACAACAATAATGCAAATGTCGTCCATTATCTGTTGAAGCATGTCGTCAAAGCTTTGGCACAACGCATGGCTGATGCTGTCTCATGCCACTGTAATGTAGACCGTGAGCTTGTTTTGCATGTGCACGGATATGCGCCGTTGCCCGTCGCGAAAACTGCAGAATATCTTTACTTGTGTTGGGAAAGGAAACCATGACCTGTTATTGGTAGGTGCCTCCCCTGACCTTTGACATCTGAAAGTTGCGGAGCTCATTATTGTCGCGCGGTAACTTTCGCTGTTAGCGTGTCGACCGCCTGGCCACGCGGGGCCTCACTGCAATATCCAGGGGCTCTGCCAGCCTCGCCATGGATCGGAGGTCACGTGGCGACCCAGCGACACTCGGCCGGGCCATGTCCGACAATGCAATCACGCGCGAGGGCTGTAGCGGCACGTGACAGGTTTGGCACGGAACTTAACATTTTAGACATGCAACCACCTGCCAGCCTTTCAGACAAAAGTGCATTCCGTGCCCGGTTCAGGTAGGAAACCGCTTACCGAAACGTGACGCGTAGTGTCTTCCATTTAGATAGCTATTTTTAGGCTCAGGTAGTCACTTGTATCGCTATTATGTATGGCGGTTGGACCCGCACGCTTCGTTCGGGGTGTTTCTAGGGATTGTTTTGCATCGTGTTGTGCCCAAGATGCAACGATTCTATTGCCGCTTCCCCTGTTACCGACATCCTACACATTCTGAATTATTTAGTATGTATGACCCCACCCATTTTTACAGGCTGTTTTGTGCTGGCATGAATAACGTAAACAACGGTAACAGTGTACAGCAGACGTGGCGGCAGAGTAGGACTGTAGGACATGACAGTAAACATCCAGCCGCGCATATCTTTGCAAACCATGTTCACTGCACTGATGAGCTGAGTGTATGCCGCCTTGTCCACCCTGGCGCCCACCTCGGGGCGTGACCGTCGCGGTCCGCGAACCCTGCTGGGATCTTTTCCGGGAAGCTGGCGATCCAGACCAGCTCGTCCCCGCCGAGCGTGCGCCCTCGCGTGGAAATCCTGTAGTAGGTTACAGGGTGTTGTACGCCATGGTGTGCTTAAACTGGACAAACCAGGACAAACCAGGACAAAAAAGACGCATGCTGTGTTCTCACAACGCTGGAAAAATACCACGACTTATCGAACACACGGATTTCGGTTTCCTCCGTGACCCCGCCGTCCCAATCCCCGCCCTTGCCCCGGCTGTGTTCCAATCATGCCCTGGCCTCCTGTGTGCTGGCCCGGTGCCTGCTGTTCGTAACGCCCCCCCCCCCCCTTCCCCTGTCACCGCGGTGCGGCTGGTGCTGTGGAGCCGCACCGCCGTGATAGCTGCGCCCGTGTGTGCGCCAGCTGACCCGACCGTCGCCCTTCAGGAGACGTGTGCTGACCTCGTGACCTGTGTTGGTGCCCGTGTGTGCGCCAGCTGATCCGACCGTCACCCTTCAGGAGACGTATGCTGACCTCGCGACCTGAGTTGGTGCCCGTGTGTGCGCCAGCTGACCCGACCGTCGCCCTTCAGAGACGTGTGCTGACCTCGTGACCTGAGTTGGTGCCCGTGTGTGCGCCAGCTGACCCGACCGTCACCCTTCAGGAGACGTCCGCTGACCTCGTGACCTGAGCTGGTGCCCGTGTGTGCGCCAGCTGACCCGACCGTCACCCTTCAGGAGACGTGTGCTGACCCCGTGACCTGAGCTGTAACCGTGCCCGTGTGTGCGCCAGCTGACCCGACCGTCGCCCTTCAGGAGACGTCCGCTGACCTCGTGACCTGAGCTGGTGCCTGTGTGTGCGCCAGCTGACCCGACCGTCACCCTTCAGGAGACGTCCGCGGACCTCGTGACCTGTGCTGGTGCCCGTGTGTGCGCCAGCTGACCCGACCGTCACCCTTTAGGAGACGTATGCTGACCCCGTGACCTGAGCTGTAACCGTGCCCGTGTGTGCGCCAGCTGACCCGACCGTCACCCTTTAGGAGACGTCTGCTGACTCCGCTACCTGAGCTGTAACCGTGCCCGTGTGTGCGCCAGCTGACCCGACCGCCGCCCTTTAGGAGACGTCCGCTGACCTCGTGACCTGTGCTGGTGCCCGTGTGTGCGCCAGCTGACCCGGCCGTCGCCCTTCAGGAGACGTGTGCTGACCCCGTGACCTGAGCTGTAACCGTGCCTGTGTGTGTGCGCCAGATGACCCGGCCGTCGCCGCTGAGACGGTGTCTGCTGACCCCGTGACCTGAGCTGTAACCGTGCCTGTGTGTGTGCGCCAGATGACCCGGCCGTCGCCGCTGAGACGGCGTCTGCTGACCCCACGACCTGAGCTGCGGACGCCGCCGTCCTCCGGTCGAGAGTCGCCGCTCGGCAGTCCCCGCGGCGGCAGCAACGGCACGCTGGCCCGGTCCGGGTAGGTGGGGGCTACTAATGACCGTTTGTGTTGGCGAAACGTGGTTTACGCCGCCCTGGGTCAAGAAAGTGCCATGCGCCAGTACCACCCGATCGAGCTGGAAAAGTGGTCAAACGTGTGCATAACAAGCAATGTCATTTTAGCACGTCATCTTATGTGCTCCCACAAGGTCTGGGAAAACTGGCCGGGAGGGATTTAGTTAGGACAGAAATCCGCATGTTTCTGGTTACGAGACATTTTCAGTTTTGTGCTTATATTAGCCAGTAAAAATATGAATATTTCAAGCAATCATTGAAATAAATCATGACAATGACTAAGCGCACCGCTGGAAATAATAAGTGTTCGAACCATAAAACGCTGCTGAAAACATCGGTTGTTTCGAGTGCTTTTCAGCGATTGTGTAACATATTTGTAACCATTGCCATCTGATATGTGAAAAGTCGATTATGTCGGCATAAAAACTAGAAATTAAATGCATTCGGCCCACCTACCATTTTTAAAAGTTTGGTATAGAACGAGTGGAAACTTATGGCGCCTTTAGCACCTTTTCGACTGCAACAAGCTCCGAGCAATGCTAAGATACTGCCGCCTTTGTTACTCGTCTTCGGCTGAGACTGATAGACTGAGACACTAGAACAGTTGCACAATGAAAGTACAACCATTGCGTATCATCTCCCACAGAGCTCACGCGAAGTTCTAAACTTTGCAGAGCCGTTACAGCGGAAAGGGGGCCTTCTTCCGGATCCCACCTGCGGTATATTTACACTGGTAGTTCAAAGGAACGCTTCACATTTGAAGATATCGAAGCAAGCATCAGATGTGATGAAATAAGCTCGCTTACAAATAGTGGTATACTTTGAAGTTGAAGACTGTTTTAGACAACGCAGTTTCTCTGTTAAGTAAATGTGCTCCTCGAAACGTCTTTGTTTAATTATCATCGCACATTGCGCAACATTGATTGAGAGTGAATTGCCTGCCATGATATCTGGAAGTCGTGCCGAAAATCGCCAGCAATGAACGACTCGACCATTACATTTTTATCGGCCTCGATCGTCGCATGGTTTATGGAATGACAGAATTTAAATGACCTTATTGTATCACGAATGCCAAAATGACCCCGAAATACTCTTCCCCCATTTTCCACTGGCGTGCAGCTCAGAAACTAGGAGGGCTCAGGACTGGAGGCGGGCGGCGCTGTGAGCTGCACCGAAAGGTCAAGATGGCTATTTCATTTCAAAACTCTATAGCAATGTGGAACACTTCCTTTTTATAAACAGCACTCATACGCATACCGCGTGTTGAAAGAGCTTTTCAGGCAGCCGTGCTGCTTTTTAGTTCTGAGGAATCTGACTATGTGCTTGGCAAAGGCCAACAAACAAACCTCTTCCATTCCACTGAATTCAAGCACGTCAGGAAAATTACACCACTCCAGGGCTGTGGCTGTACCGATAATGTGCGGTGTCGAATTCAACAGAACTCATTTCAACTTTGAACTCGTGTTGCCGGTTCAACAAGAAGTGACGCTTTCAAAACACTTGATGTTGACAGTACTCAAATTATTGAGACCTATAGCACACATTCTTCTGGCGTATGTGCACATCATCCACGAGCACCGGCACCCGGCCCCTTTTCAGTGACGATAAGCAATTGACGACGGATAACAACATGGTATTTGCCTGCAACCCTGGTCTGTTTCCCACCACCGGTAAACGGCCGCGCCGCTGGCCTGTCTTTACGTGACTCACGAGGCCCCAGTCATGTCGCGCCTGACACATGTGGCCCCAGTCTTCGCGTGACTGACACTGGCGGCCCAGTCTGCTCCCCAGCCCCGGCGAGCGGCCATGGTGCGCGGCGTCTTGCCGCAGCGGGCTGCCCTGCCGCAACCCGGCCGGGCCGCTGTCACCCTACTGCGGCCTGCACGCGCGCCACTCGCGCCAGGGCACGCCCGTGGCCGGCGACGGCGTGAGGGGCTGACGGTAGCCGGGCCGGCCGGCCGCCTGGGACGCGCTGCCCAGAGAAGGGGGACAGCACCGCCGGATGGACGGCGGCCGGCGGCGGCACGCCTCTCTGCAGCCCGCTGTGCTGATCGGAACGGCAGGCCACGGCCAGCAGGCCTTTCTCGTCTGCTGCGCCCGCCGGGCGACGAAGTCTAAGGACGGTTTTAATCTGTCGGTTGGGAGTGCTTCGGATCAACCTCTGCTCGTCTAATGATGCTGCCATCGCGTAATTTACTGCAGTGTCCCAGGCTGGCTGCACTTTATGAGGCATACTGTGCGTGGAACCCAACCCGGGGTCGTGGCTCTCATCGTAGTGAAAGGTACGCTTTCAGTCCACCTTCTTTTTTGTTTTTTATAGTCTGGAGCATTTCTAGGATGTGCCAGCGGCGAAGTCGTTTTTTTACCTTTAGCCAAAATATGTGGATATATTAACTGCAAAAAATGTGTCATTTCCGTGTGTCATTTCCTTGGACGGCTTATATATCATGCATGCCACTATTCAACTTCTGAAATGCAGAAACGTGTTGTGGGGTTATCTAGAACATCGTCTTCCGTGCAGCGTTAGTAACGTGTACATGCCTGTGATAACTGTGATGCTCCATCTGTAATAATATACATTACTGTGCGACCAGCCTTCTATTTGCAGTCGTATCGGCATGACAAAGCTCTGAGGTTTAACACGCTCCCGGGTGGCTGGCTGGATATCCTTCGCTCGGGCGGGGTGGGGGATTTGACCCCCTCCTAAGATCTTAGGAACCAAGAGAGGTACAGACGCCAAATTCACAGGGTGTATTGTTCTGTACTTAAACTGAGGTCAAAGTTTGAGGTTTCTAGGTCACGACCTCCAGATCAACTAAGGTCAAACAAGTTCGAACTCCAGGTTGGCCTCCCAAGTGCCCACAGAAGTGTGTGAAAAAGTGCCCACAGGTTGGTCTCCAAAGAGCCTACCTAGATACCTGTCTTAAGCAAAAAGTCGCATGAACATTTGAGGTCAGTGACCTCTTGACCTTTAAAAGGTCATCGTGACCAGAATCATACAAGACTGCTTTGAGTTTCGTATTCGAATAAGCGATGAACGTTGCGCTGGGCGGAATGTTCATAAGGACAGAATGTTGACCTGGGTCTTTTTAGGTCAGTGACCTATTCTGGTCTTTGAGGAAGTCCGTGGAAGACGTATAATGCAGTTCCCGTTATCAATAAATTCGAAATAAGGACGAGAAGCTACCCCAATGTAACAACCCCCATAGTAATAAAACATGTTGGTGCTCATTTTGATCTGATCTTTATATCTGACCCTAGGTCCATGTAATTTGCTCATTTAATTGTTTTGCTGTCTAAGAAAACACACTGCACGCACTCAGAGACGTATGGCTTCGTCTAAAACCCCGTTGTTGTATCAGATGGAACGATTCCTTAGAAATTGACCGCTGAATACATGGCCTGACTTTGACCTGCCGTGGGTCAGCAAACTTGCAGGGTACGTCTAAATTCTCGACACCAAAGGAGCCGCTGTTCAATTGTCTACAGTTGTGCAAGAATTGGAGCGGCTACGCCGCGCTTTTCGCAAACCATTCCGGAAAAACCTTCGGGGGAGTCAGATTGATCCTCACCCGAGCGCATGTTAAGTCCATGACTGAGCAATTCGTATTTCTTACGGTCACCGGCGATTGACACGTGGGGCACGTGTACGGTCTGAAGTGCGCCTATTTCAGGCGCCACACATGCAGCCAGCCAAAATTCATACTTTTGGCAATAGCCCATATTATGTTGAGTCCTGCAGATGGACAACTTAACGGAGCCTGATGTCACGTCGGGTCTGGTCGCACACACTGGTTACGAGGGCATACACACACGGTCCCGAAGCAGTTCAAGTAGCACCTAGGACACTCGCAATTCGAGTTCGAGGGTTCAAGTCGTCGCCGGCTGTTTGTTCCTGGCTGGGATAACAGCGACCAGGAGCAGCGGGCGCGCCTGAGGTCAAAGGCCATAAAATGCTAAGTGCGAGGTATGATTCCAGATATCGATCGAATCAAAGGGTTCGGCCCAAGCCCTTAGAATAACAACAAGCGCAAAACACTTGACCAACTGTCGTCGGGCTGCGCCGCACGATTCTTTTAAAAACAATCTCGATGTAATAGTTATCGTAGCTGTTTCAGCCTTGAAATGTTCTGCAAAGATTTGTCTTCATAATTTTAAGTCAGAAACAGACATCGGAGCGTGCAGTCCTGCGAGAGGCTCAGCGTATGACACAACATACTAAACAGTTTGTTCCTTGACGCATCCACTTGGCAGTATTTTAGCACGTGTCCATAGGTAGACTTTATGAAATCCTTGGTGATTGCCTACCGAAGGAGAAGAAGTATTTTGCTGCGTGTTACATTTATTGAAACTGACGACTTGTAGGCATATACAATGTGGTTTGAAATAATTCCACCATTTGCCGTCATCGTTGGAGCATTGAGTGTTCCGGGATATCTTATGTACTACACTAACAAGCTTGTGTATAATGGAAATGTAAGTAGATTACACATGCTGCTGGCTTTAGTGACGACTGGAGATGACTGGATATTCGAAGATAATGCATAACTTGTGTGCAACATTCTCTCCCTGTCCTTCATAATGTGGAGTCTTTTCATTGTGGAATGTGCAGTGTTCCATAAAAACAAATGAGTGTAGAACATCTGGCCAAAAACCCAATGTTACTGCAGATGAATTTCTTGGCTCCAGGTGTGCCACATCCCCTTAACCTAGATGGCACATTGCATGTGGCCCCAAGCATGTCCTTGGCAGCAGTGGTGTTTTTAAAATAAATTGTGCATTTTCAGTGCATTTTTGCAGTGGGTCTAAGCAATCAGAATTTGGTGTGCAATCATCACCTACTTCAGCACATTGAGAGTAAATGTTTCAAGTAATTATAGTTTGGCATCAGTAATTCCAGATCAAAATGTTATATATATATATATATATATATATATTTATTTACACAAGTTATTTGAAATACCAGCACCATGGCCTTGCCTGAGCTTAGCACACATTCTTGTGTTAGGTTCAGCATGCTGACATCAGGTGGGCATCTACACAGTAAATGGATTTTTTGCTGACAGAGCTTGTGCTCATTCCTGTGTTAAAAGTGAGATGGTAGGGATAAGGCCTCAATTTTACCTGGGTATCAAATATCAAATATTCTCTGAAATTTTGTGAATTTAGACAAAACTGTGGTGGGGTATTTCCTAGTATCTAGTGCAAACCTGTTGGCTCAAAGGAAGGAGGAGGCCTCACTGGCCATCCCCCTGGCTTTGTATATGTGAGCCAGTGCTGGTTACATGAAGATTTAATTTGCACTTTATGTCAAATAGCCATCCAAGTAGGAAGTTATCTTTCAAAATATCCATATTTTAGGCCAGGACATTGGCATTGTAATGGCCTCTAAGATTGCTGTAAATGTGGTGTTTTCTACAGCTTTGGATATCATACAAACATGGCTAAATGTTTTGCCTCAGGAATTGTGCTAATATATAATTTGTTAGTTCCAAGCCTTTGCATTTGCAGGAGTCATGCATAACATTGAAAAAAACAACTTTAATAAACAGATCCCAAATTGCATGTGCAGGGGTGCATTAAGCCCAAAGTGGGAAAGCACTCCAATCAGAATGCCAGAGATAACACCAAGCCCACAAAAAGGATTGCCCTTAGTCTTTTAAAGTCACTGCAGCCAAACTGGGCCTACATGGGATGCACACACATCTGAACCATAAGCCAGGCATATGATTTCTACATCTATGAATACTGGATCCAAGTCTAGTTAGATCAAGTATTAAAAAAAGAAATGAGATTCAAAATAGTTGTTGCTTCCCCAGTTCGAGACATTGGACCCAGAGGTATCCACAAGTGTGAAACACAGGGGGATGTTCCATGGTTGGAACCCAGTTGAGGTTCAGAACAAACATGTGGTGTCCCTGACCTGTCTGCCTGGAACTGAAACTGATCTATGCACTGTCAGTCTTAATTGCTTTGGTGCTGAACACTGGTTTGTGACAACAATGACCTGTTTTCTTGGTAGTCTAGGTTTGTGGAGGACTGCATTGAACTATTGGATAGATGTCTTATATGCTGAGGAGGGCAAGCTGTGACATAGACATGAGTGCCAGATACTGTTACAAAGGTCATGTAGTGGTCATGTAGTCATGTAGTGGTCATGTAGTGGTCATGTAATGGTCATGTAGTGTAGGTCATGTCGGAGGAGCCTAAGCTGCCACTTCATCAGACATTAGGTGCCAGAGGTTACTGCAATATGTTTGCAATCTAAGTGCTACATTTCATCTCCATTCTTGAGCATGTCCCAGCCTTTCAGCTGCCTTGTCAATTGGCTGAAATAAAGGGATATAGGTTTACTAGTTCACTTTTCATACAAAGCAAAGCAATTAATCACCCATTCCCCATCAGTATGGGTACAGGGCATATGCACAAGATCAGATTTTGAATTTAGTTGGATTGGCATACTGCATTTTTGGGGGCAGATTGTTAAAAGGAATACTCCACATTTGAATATATTGAAGCAAGCATCAGATATGATGAAATAGGCTCACTTACTCTCAGCATGCTTGTAAGTAGAAAAGGGTGCTTCATACAACACAATTTCTCTGTTTAGTAAATATGCTCCTCAATGCACCATTGTTTGATTACATCATCGTACCTTGCACAAAAGTGAGAGCCAACTGGCATCCAGCAGATGTGGAAATTAGGATCACAAACTCCAGATATGAATGACTCAAAAATTATATATGTCTTGGCCTTGACTGCTGTGTGGCTAACAGAAAAGCAGGATTTGAATGGCATTATTATAGCATCTTGTAGCCTGGGTGACCTTGAAATAGTCTCCTGAAATAGTCTGCACATTTTCGCAGACCTATAGCTCAAAAGCGAGGGGGTTTATGTCTTAAGAGGTGTCGGGCATGTGAGCTGTACTGGATAATTTTCAAGGTGGATATTTCAGCTCAAAACCCTATACAAATGTGGGACCCTCCCTGTTAGATGTGTAGTGACTTCACAACGAACCGGTGGAGACTGCGACGCTCAGAACGACTCGAAGCTTCCTTGCAGAGTTTCATTTAGTGCTGCAGTAGTCTGGCAATGTAAGTGTCTGAAGCGAGCTTCAACTTGGTGATCAACTCTTGATGGCTTGTAGTTGTCTCATTGAACGGCAGGGCGGGGTGCTGGTACCGGCGTGGCCGTGGGACGTGTCAGGGGATCACAGCCGTGATCTTGCGAACACCAAGAAGATAACGTGAAAACGTTAGCGAGCGGAGATCGTGGCCTTTGCGAGCCTACAGAAATCGAACCTACGACTACGTTGGAATTGGAACGACTGCGTTTATCCTCTTATGGGTTTGACGAGCACAATTGCGGTAATGGGCAACTGTAACCGCAGGATTACGAACTACGCCGAGATGGTGGGAAGATTGTCTCGGTAATGAGTCGTACTGCACGCGGTCGTAACCACGGGCTTACGGGATACTCGAATATGACGGATGGATTTTCTTCGTGGTGAAAAGGATTGAACGCCTGTGTTGTTTATTCGACCAACTTGGGATTTATCAGTTCCAAGGCACAGCAACATATATTTCAGATCAGTTCCAAAGAAGGTGACCTCGGCGGCTTTTCGATTGGTTGCTGGCACACCGATGGGTCGGACGGCTCTAAAATGTGTCAATGAGTAAAACACCGGCGCATTCGCTTATACCATACAGAACGTTTCATGTCTACTCTGGTTGTTGGGATTTGATATTCCTTACAAACGCGTCAAAACGGGTGGATACATCACTGGAGCAGGATGGCGCGTGGTAGTCCGCACAGTTCCACCGCTGAGATTGTCCGTTTCTTCTCCGTCAGCATGACTCAGTCTGACGGCGGCGCGACGTCTGACCGCCGAGACCTGGGCATGCTTCAGACTTGTGATCTCTCTAGCCTTTTCGCGATCTGGCCGTTCTTTTTTCCTCGTGTGGATCGAATGGGGAGGTGAAATAAGTTGGCGATATTGCAACGTCCTAGAGATACGTCGCCTGGTGGTCAAACACATTTCATTTCAAAGCCGTGAAAACAAACCCAGCTTTTAAGGGACTGCGCTCCGTGATGCTGAAACCAACACGACAGTAGAACCGTGGCTGCAAATCATAGTGTTATAAGTGTGGCTGACCAGACTGAGCTGATTCCCCGCTGTGCCCGTCTTTCCTGTCAGGCTGAGAGGCAGGTGACACTATATAGCCTCGGCAGCTGTGGGTGTCATAACGCTGAATGACAGGCTGGGCCGCTGACGCTAAATTCCGATTAGCGGACATCGAAGACTCGCGGCCTGTAGCCCCGCCTCTTCGAGCTTGATACGTCAGCGGTCATTGTCGCTCGGCCTGGCACCGGCTTCGCCGTCAGCTGTTGACGCGCCGCGCGTCTGCACCCGCACCTGATCATGGCCAGGTATCAGGCCTGGTGCAAGCCGTTAGATGTGACCGGTGCGCATCCGTTACGTACCGTGCTTCCCGGGCGCGTTAGACATTTGCGGTGGTGTTTGGTGTCACTCGTGCGATCACCTCCCTTCTGTTCACGCAAATACCACTGAAAACATCGTTTGCGGTCACAAGGTTCATAGATGAACTGTAGTTCGATTTTGGGTCACTTTTAGATCCTTGCGTTGCACAAAGGCAACATCCAACTGTTGATTGCGGTGTACTCCGCCACACTTCGATGCGCTGTTCATTCAGCTCGTTTTGTTTTCAGCCAAACATCAAAGCTCTGAAATACCTAGAGCAGAGACAGGTGCTAAGGAGGGATCAGCGGCTTTTTGGCGACTACTACAAATGGAAGGTACGAGTTTTAACACTCACTGGATTGAGTGCAATAACAAGATGCAAACACTATTCAACGGACACGCAATATCCTGTTCCTTTTTTAGTCATGCGTGACGTCACTGGGCACCGCTGGAAATGTCTGAGTGTTTCAAGGTTTTTACATTATGTCTGCACATTTGTAATTGGAAAGGCAGCGTTTGCGTGATGTTTTGCTTTACGCCAGCGCCAAAAAATGCGATGTATTTCAAATTCATGAGCGAAGCCGTCGAATGCCACGTCACGCTGCTTATCATGCACCACATGGAGACGATCTGGGTTAAATAACTTCATGGGGAAGTGATACGGGATGCATGGATGCAAACGGACTGGAGCGACCGCAAGAAAGGTCACACGTTGTCATTTCATCGCCATCTGAACCCCGGTGCTTCGACTAACTGGCACGACCACCGCGAAACCCTCCGGGCATACGGGCCCGGTGGTGTAGCATGAGTTTTTGATCCGAACTTGTACGTTACAGGGTCTGGAGAACATTCCAGACAAATAGCCGGGAGTCGTCGTGTTCTGGAGTCGTCGAGAGGGCGTGTATTAACGATCAGCGCTCTTGTGTATGTATGTATTTAGGGAACGTTGACGGTAATAAATCCATGTGAAGTACTGCTGTCTGTTTTGTGCTGTGCAAGTAACGGTTTGGTTAACATGTAGCCAGCTCGCTGCTTGAGAATGTTTTTGCACGCACCAGCGCCATTTTAAATCGACTTTGTGAGACCTTTAGATCTTTAGGATACATCAAAATAATTTCACTTGATTAGATATTGTTCTGGATGCGGAGGGCGCGCTCAGCCACGGTATCGTACTCATCGGGGCTGACGTCAGCCAACCATTGACCTCAGCGAACGAGAAGCGTATGCTTCGCGTGGCGGCTGCCCTTGCGCGGAGGCGTGGCGGGCTCGAGTGGCGGACGGGGATGGCCGGAGCTGCTCTGGAATTAAATCGGACTGGTTCTGAGCTCAGTGCGCCCAACATCCCACAGAGGCAGTGCGCCAGTTCACGGCACGGCAGTTCAAGCGTGCGGCAGCGGCGATGGCCGGAGCCCCTGAGACTGTCAGGAGGTCCCATGGTGGTCAAAACACACTAGAGCTGGGATCTAAAGCCATCGCTAGGTCCCAAGACGATCAGGGGTGCATCAAACCGTTGGAAGGATCCTGAGAGCGCCAAAGGTCATGGCATGGCCGGGAATACTAAGATCGGGTAACTGTGTGTGTGAAACTCAGCGGTACCAAGCTTTGGTATGACGCTGGGGTCCAGCAAAGCCTTCCGTTCGTGGGGGCGTAATGACGCGTGGGGCCGCGGAGCCACGGAAAGGTCAACCATCTTTTTTGGCGGATGGAGGTAGAGAAAACCGGTCGCCGTTTTCAGACCGAACTGTCTCTAGTTTGACCGTCGCTAGCGGAAAACGCTTCTTCAGTATTCTGCTGGTGCTATGCAACAAGGGGGGAGGGTAGGATGGATGAAAGACTGCATGCAGGACAAGCAAATCTGAATTCACGCTCACATCCTTCACAACCATGCTGTACGAGTTTTGGTGTACTGTGAACATCGCGCGTGGTGGTAAACATTTTAACGGTTGCTGTACCGGAAATGAATCACGCGCGATGTTGTTCTTACTTTGAGGTTCTAGGTCTTCGATTTATCTCTTAACCCTTACCCCGATTTGCCGTTTTTCGTAACGCGACTGATAGGGTGGGTCGATGCAACCTCCCCTCGTGTTTCAGCTTGATAAAAATAGAGATTAGCGGAGCGCACCATTGGATTGTTCTGAGAAAAATCTTGCGATTGGTTCTAGTTCTTGTGCTTTTAGGTAGACAATTAACCTCACTGTGCTAGGTCAAAGGTCATCATCGTCGTCATTGGGGTTTACAACGCACTCAGCTGCTGAGGCTGTATGGCGTCGCCTGCCTCTCACATTGGCAGGAAGGGCGGGCATCGCGGAAAATGGAACCCCGTGCCTCTGGTTTCCCAGACACGCAGTGGTTAATGTAGGCGTGTTAACCACTACACTATTGAGAAAAGGTCATGATGTGAAGTGAAGTCATTTGTCACGTGAAAAAATTCATTTTACGAAAGCCTTTGGTTTTCCAGAAAATCGCGCTTTTCATCTCTACATCATACAAACAAGATTATGTCTCGTGGCCACACAAAAGTAAAACAGGCATTTTTCTTGTTTAAAGCTGAGTACAATGGTGTATATCTTTATGTGCTTTGAGTGTAATGAGATGTGGCTCCGTAATGTAACCGTGCCAGCCCGCCGCGGGGGTTCAGTGGTACCGTCTGTTGCCGCCCGCCACCCGCGCCGGCCATAGATTGCCGCGCTGTGCCCGCTCCTCAAAAAATTGCCGCTGCTCCAAAACCAGAGAGATAGAAGCATGTTTTTAGTGTCAAAATACGCGCAATAGTTGTCTCATAGACTACTGAAAATTTTGGGCGCGACTGTACAACGTTCCGGAGAAGTATCCTAAAAAAGCTTAGGGGGTTGCATCAACACCCTCATTGGGGCGAGGGTTCATTGTCCTCGCGCAGGACTAACACCATTATGCCCACGGATCTCTACGGAGGCCTTCGTAAAGTGCGCTAGTAGTGCGTGGATGATCAGTGGTGTAGTCCAGGAGTCATCATCATCATCACATCGGCGAAGTGGGCTCCCTCGTCGTGGCTAAATCACGCCTGGTTTTTAATTCACAGGACTGTTTAGGCCCTGGGTCCTACTTTGATGTATCAGCAGCCGTTTTCATTGTTTGAAGGCCTTCGGTTCTCCACCATTCATATAACAACCATTGCTCTGCTTGTCAGCTGTGTCATTAATAAGCCTTGCTAACAAAGCCTTGCTGGCTTGGCACCGAGCTCTCAGGGTTTCAGAGCTACCCGAATGACAGAAACCACTTGGTGAGCTTGCACTGCGGCCCGATTTTGTCGGGCTTACTCACGGATCACTCCCTGAACCAATCCTGTTCGGCATGTTGACGACAAATCATTTGCACCGCGGCCAGCTGTTTGGTCATCATCTGCAGCCAGCTGTTTGATCATTTATTCACCGTTCCACTCACTGCCCGGTCGATAAAGTTTCATGCCTAACAGGCTCGCTGCAGCGCTAGTTTGGATCGAATTCACTCAAGATGAGCTCGGGCATGGCTGACTTGACTTTTGTCAGGACTCCTAGATTGCTAGCAGAGACCAGGCTCTCATCTGTATAACGCTGGGTAAATAAAAAAACCTCGCCCTTCATGCGCTTGCTGAGCGCTGCCATGAAACAAAGCTTGGGCTCAGAGTGGAGGCCAGGATTTTCGTGAAGATTTCGGGGAGCTCGGTGAGAACGCATCATATTAATACTTTCAGGAGTCATTTACGGTGAAGCATACAAATGTTAACCTAAGGTAGAGGGGGGGGGGGGGGGGCGAGCCTTCCCTCCCCTTTTGGCTGCCCCTGCGGTCATGGCACATGCTTGTGGTCAGAAAATGCAACGTTCCACTTGTCGATATCGGTTCGACCGCCTTTTCAGTGGAGATTTTACAAGACCTTTATCCAAACGCACACATCTCTCCACATTATGTCGGACGTTTCAATTTGAAACAGGGACACCAAAAACCATCTACATTGGACCGCGACCTTCAGCGCCCGGGTCGTGTCGGTCGTGAGGCACAGCGCGTAGATTGGTCTGCGGCTCCAGCCCTGGCACCCCCGGCTTAGAAATGGATCGAGCAGGTGCTGAGAAGCGGGACCTCAAAGTGCCGCCACCGACGCGACACGCTGGCGATTCGCCGCACGTTGGTCCCCCGGCCTGCGGTGTGTCGTCGGACCACTGCACTCGGGATGGAGCGCCAGAGTTGCCGACATACCGCCTCTCGAGGCACACAGACGAGTTACCACTGCTCTCGGAGCGGAGCGCCAGAGTTGCCGACATACCGGCTCTCGTGGCACACAGACGAGTTACCACTGCACCAGGAGCGGAGCGCCAGAGCTGCCGACATGCCGACTCCCGCGGCACACAGACGGGTTACCACTGCACCAGGGACGGAGCGCCAGAGCTGCCGACATGCCGACTCCCGCGGCACACAGACGAGTTACCACTGCACCAGGGGCGGAGCGCCAGAGCTGCCGACATGCCGACTCCCGCGGCACACAGACGAGTTACCACTGCACCAGGGGCGGAGCGCCAGAGCTGCCGACATGCCGACTCCCGCGGCACACAAACAGGTTACCACTGCACCAGGGGCGGAGCGCCAGAGCTGCCGACATGCCGACTCTCGCCGCCGACATGCCTACTCTCGCGGCACACAGACAGGTTCCAGAGCTGAACCGCTGCTTCGTAGCGTCAGCTGTCGTGACGGCCACGAAGCGGCGGTGGCTGGGGGGGGGGGGGGGGGGGCGCTTGAGCTGCGGATGGGATGGGTCAGTCTTGTTTTGCATGACATACACCGCGTGGAATGCGACTTTGGCTTGTGTCTTTTTTGTAGCTCATTGACGATAATGGTTGACTCATTTTGCACTTGTTATTTTACTGCTGCACACCTTGTAATTTCATTGCGTCTTGCCATGGATCTGATGCCGTTCCGAGGAAACACATCACGTGGATGGATCTGTGGCTAGGGCAAACATCACAATTATGGCAGCATTGTTCGATGAAATGGATATCGGACATTTGGGCAAATAATACTTCATTGATTCTGGTTCATCAAGCCCCCCCCTCCCCCCCCCCCCCCCACCATGCACGATCGTAACCTAAAGAACGTTCTAGTGCACTGGAGTACGTCCGTTCGTCAGACGGCCTTTACATTACAACATGAAATCAAATGACTCAAACTCCCCCTCAGGCACGTAGCCATAAGTTTAATCAGGATGTCAACTTGATTCCCCACTCCTGTGGATCTGAACCGACTTCCAGCCAAAGCTCCCGGGTCCAGCGTAAACCTCTCGGCTCAGGGGTAAGGCAGCACGGCCCGCTGACCCCCTTGGGTGCGTTCATCTTCCCGTCCCTGACGTGTCTCCAGGTCCACGGGTGCCAGACGTTCCAGAACAGTTGACAACCACACGTGGGTCCGGTCGTCCAGCCCGCTCGAGGCGGCCAGAACGGGCCCCCACCTGGCACGGAGACAGGTCGAGAAGAGTTGTAAATGTGTGGGTCATGTCCCGCGGCATTCCATCTCATCCCTGCCAGCGAGGGGTCCAAGTGTTTCGAAAAGCCGCACTCTTAGATTCGACTAAACTGCGCCTCAGGCGCTCACCACGAAACATCGTAATTGATACCGACAGGCCAGCGTCGACCGGCGCTGGGCCTCAAACGCCCGCGGCGAAACGCTGAAATCAACCAGGCTGATCCACTCAAAGGAATAATGAAATAACAGCCACGTTCTTCAAGACAAGCGGAATGCGTATGGCGTCTGTGTGGTCTGGGCGGCCTTCGCCTCCGTGGTGCAGGCCGGTCCGGGTCCGCCACACCGTCTGTCTGGCGGGCGGGAGCTGCTGGCGTGCGGGCTGGAGGCTAGTTGGCGGCGCGTCAAGTTTGGATGTAAATATAGCGGACAGCCCGCCGCACATGCCCCCAGCCGCATGTGCATACCTCTGCGGCGCCGCAGCCGCCGCCGCCGCCGTGTTGACAAAGAGCGGCTGAGGCGATAGCACGCACAGCAGCCGCCGCCATCGACATCGGCTCACCTGGCCGCCGTCGCCGCCGCCGCCGCCGGAGCGCGCCGCTCTGGACTGGCGAGACGTTCCATTCGACGGTGTGGACTGGTGGCTTGTGCGGAGCTGAGGTGAACCGTTGAAAGGTTTTAGAAGGCGTGCTCTCGAGGACGGTGGTCTAAAATGTTTTGGTGAGACAGTGCGTGATAAACCCCAGCTGGGTTCAGTGAGGATTGTCGTGCGATGATATATCCCTGGGCGATGAGAGGCAACGAAAACGGTTGTGAAGGAATGCGTTCTTCATATCATGGTCGTGCAGTCTCTTACAGGCTTCAAAGGTTGCAATAATATTGAGATAAGCCAACGTCTATTGAAAGGTAAGTTGACATCGTTTTAGTCCATTTAAGACAAAATCGGATGAGTTCAACGATGCTAAGGGCACCTAGCCGTCAAATTGTTTTTCACCCCTCAGCGTGTGGATGCAGGTGCGTCGACGCTGACGAAGGATGCGAGATGACTAGTTATTGGTCTGACACAGCTTGTTTGTGGCACTTGTACTTATCCGCAACATGGACTGGTGACTGATGCGGCTGGCGGATTGCTGGTTGTTGTTCAGACCCTTCTGCTGTGTGTTTGCGTGACGCCTTGTGATCAAAGGCGTCGGTGCAGCCAGTGATTCAGTGTATATGGATGAGTATGAATCTGGTTTAATTGGAACTGATAATTTTATTTTTACCAAAATGGATAGCAAATTTCTAAAGGGCTTCTCAAGGCCTTTTCAGCATTTTAAAGGCCATTGTTAAATCAGGTTATGACAAAGACGTGCCTTGTTAGCCTTCCGGTCTTCGTCGCTTTTAAAATAGTCGTAAACCAGGCAGGCGCCTTTCACGGCTTCGGATCAACGATACCGCAGCCACGGGTATTACCGTCATGTTGTTAAAACCAGGGGCAGCAATAAAAGAAGCCGATAGCACTTGGGTACCCATGCAAAGAAGCGTCATCGATGCATTAAATTATCTCTCTTCCATGAATTTTTCAAGCACGCAGTTGCACTGATGGTTGGCGTCCGCCCGAAAGTCTAAAAATAACATGACTTGAGAGTGGGCATGGCACTTGGACATAGCATAGCTGTCTTTTCCAATCGTCGACTTAGAAATTCGGAATGGTTTATTTGCTTTCTGTTTTTGGCCAAACTATCGCGAAAAACACAGATACGTTGGGTGTATTTTGGTAAAAGCAGACCGAGTGGCTGGCTTGATGGTCCGATCCGTGTCGGTTTATGCCCAGTGTTGAGTTTGAGGCAGGTGTCAGAAAAGGCAGCATTGGCTGCTATCCCTTTTATCGCTGACACGCTGACGCTGACTTTTATCGCTGTAGGTAGGGCAATTTTTAAATCCCTTATTGTTTTGTAGACGGAAAATTGCCCACATCGAGCTTTTGGCTGCACGCTGCCATCTGCTCTGGATGCCGATATTTGATATTAGTCCTAATAGCATCCCAAGACGAGTGTACGCATGGCTTGCCCGCGATAAGATGTGAAAGGAGATACATTGGTATGCATTGCTTATACCAATGTAAGCATACCATTACTATTTGGACATACGGTATTTGGACATATGGTTTTTTATATTTTTTCCATGGTATTTGCCAGTAGGATTATCCATCCTCTCCTGAGACAGCATCGGTCGGTCTCGACTGTTAGACAGCATCGGTCGGTCTCGACCGTTAGTCAGCATCGGTCGGTCTCGACCGTTACCGCGACACCGCGGCAGTCGACAGCTGTTTGGAGTTTCGACCTGTGTTCCGCAGTTTGTGCAATCAGGAACTTTGGCGTTCCATGTTAATCGAACGGGAAGATATTCTGTTCAAAATGAAGGGTTGCAGAAATCTACAACCTGATGAGTAGCCTGCAAGCGGATGTCCAAAAGTTGCTGCAGCACGACGTCCAAAGAAGCAGAGTTGTTGCTAACAAATACGTTAAGCCGCGGTCGGCTATTGTAAATGTATCAGCTCTGAAAAAGCGTAGCTGCCATGGCTGGCCGAACTGTTCGAGAAGTTTTCTCGCCGTAGGCAAGAAAGGCCGTCAGCTTCTGGTCTCTTGACATCTGAGTCCTTGCGTTGAATATCCGACCTTTAATGTACTAGGAGGCACTGCTCAAATTGCGCCATCAAGCAGTGAGGCGACTTTCCCGATCTCCATTTCAGCTCACTGACACCCTGGTTTTGACATTTGTAACTCGACGTAGCTTTCTTCACCCCGCGGTAAAACTGCTCCTCTCCCCTCCCCTCTATCAGGAAGCACAGCGCGTGTGACCCGGACAGGATCAGTATCCGAATCTTATTGAAAGGCTGGCCGGGGTCATTAGAATCACGTATAACTCCTCCCTCTCTCAAGAGGCATTTCCGCGCTTGTGGGGTGAAACGTTGCGTTGTTCTGATCCGCAGCAGGATGAACAAAGGCAAACCTGAAAACTAATTGGCTATTCGCCAGGCCTTCAATGTGCAACCTTTTGGCAAAGGCTGTATTTTATTGCCTCCTACACGGTTGACCTGTACTGCCACATAACCATGCGTTCATTTCGAACCCTTTGTGCATCACCAAACTCCGATCTTCCCTGCAGATGGGACCCGACCCAGGCAGGTTCACGGGCAGACCATATCTATTCCGATTACTCATCAGCCCATACTAGTGTAGATCACTTTCCACCTTTCACAAAATAAATGCTTCATTCAACGTGTCTGAGGTGGCGTTCCCTGGACCGAGCCCTACCCCACACAACGACGGCAGCGAGTCGCGTTAGGCGGCGTGCGCTCCAATGCGGCGTCAATCCTGTCTTAAGCTCCAGAAATAAACATACGGGGGATTTCTGTTACATCCGACCCTTTTCATTTCATTCAAACAAATGTAAGTAACGTATGCCGACGACATTAAGCTGTTTCGCCAAATCAGATCTATTTCGCGATCAGATCCGATCTGTTTCCCAGACGTCACTGCCTTTCAGGTTGGCTTGGATAGCCTGTCCACCCAGACGCCCACTTGGCACATCAAACTTGACCATCTCATCCTAGACTCATCATCTAACCCCAAACTGATGCAACGGTCGCCAAGGCAACTGCATGTTACGTGTACTCACTTAAACTACATATGCCCCGAGCCACACGCATGCGTAAGATCTGTACCAGAAAATGATCGTGAACCATATGGACGGAAGATCCTGCGACTAGCTTAAAACGCCTGGAGTGTGCTCGGTGTATCTTGTACCTTGACCGAGTACAAACACATCACCCAGCGATGGGCTATGACAGTCCCTTGCTCTTTTGGACATGTTCGATGACGTCTCTCATCAAGCATGGTCTTATGTTTTTACACTTTCTTTTCGCGAAAGGCCATGGATGACATCGTTCACCACCGCCATTGGACTGCAGTGCACCAGGCATGCTCTCCCTTCTGCGCATCGTCACGTGCCAGAATTGCGCGTCCAAATATATCGACTAGCCATTTTTTTAGACTGCATTCTTCCGACGTGCGATGCCATGTCAAACACTGTGGAGTTGACTATTTATACACACCACCTGCATTTGAATGCGCAGAACTATGCTCGAGCCTCTGAACCTGTTACGCGACGCGTCATGAAACGTGCCGTCTGGAAGGAAGAAGTGAAAGCTCACTGGTGATGGTGTGGTTGCATTACCTTCATAGTTATGTGTGGCTGGTTTCGTAAGCAATCATTGTTATATCGTCAGTCACCCAGCAATTGGCCATTTTAGTGTTCTTTTTCTGTAAGTTGGTCAGTGCATTAGCGAGGAATCTTGTTCACATAGATCAGACAGCAGTATTAGCCTAATTCCGCGGAAAAACCAGGAGAATGAAGATATAGTTAGGTTGATATTTCGGCAACATGCCTTTAATGAAACAGCTGCAGAAGAATTCTGCTATTTGTTTCGGTAAAGGCATGTTGCCGAAATGTCATATCAGCCTAACTATATCTCTATTTCCCTGGTTTTTCCGGGGGATAAGGCTAATACCACTGTCTTATCTATGTTCTTTTTCCGATTTAATTTGAACCTTAGGAATAAATGAATTGCTGGCACCAAAACGCACGCTAAGCAGTACTTTTCGTGTGAGCCCTGATCCGATCCATCCATCCGATCGTGCCATTCCAAGTGAACAGCAGAATTTGGTGACGAAGTTTTAACGTGCCGCGATGCTCGGCACGCTTCGCCCCGCCCTCTGACGTCACCTGACCTTTAACGTAGCCGCTGAATGGCTGTAGGCCATTACCTGTTCGAAATTGACTCGACCCCACCCCACCATGGGTAGGTGGATCGGAATGCAAGCGTCCTAACCATCTGATCCACTGAGACAGACATAGCTGGGGGATGTCTGTTATGTCCATGACAATAAACAACAAGCAACTGGTTTACACTGCACAAACCACAATGTTGCAAGGCAGTGTCCAGTGCTCATGGTCACAGGTGACCATAAACACTGCCTTAATGCATCAGGTTTTCTCAAAGCATATGCCAATTACTGGTTGCATACCGCAGGTCAGTTCTCCCAACTACAGAGCTCATAATGCTTAACATTGTGTCATAGCTCAAGTGATGTTAGAATAATGAGTGCTTATCATAGTTCAAGAAAGTCGATATTTAGGTTACCAAGTTGATTGTCATAGTTAACAAATGATCATTCAGGCAAGGCTTATCATAGTTCAAGAAGCCCAGTCTGTGACCTGGCTCGTGATACGTTGCGTACGGCGTCGCATAATACGCAACGCGTGTTACACTGCATCATAATGAAGTACGTTATTATACCATAGATACAGTGACATCTAAAACCATGGGCATTTATTTTACCACAATCGACCAAAAGTGCTTTATCGTAAGTTCAAGGTAGGTAAGGTCAGGGTCATGGCAGGTGATAAGATGACCTCAGCTGACCGAACCCTAAGCCTTGAAAATGAAATCCGCTGATGACAGATGCTCTGAACTGAAACCTCTGACTGAATCTTTGAACCCTTTCTGACTTGAGCCCTCTTGAGGCTGCCGTCTAGACGACTAAGATAGTCCCGTCGCTCTAGTACAAACAGACCCGATCTCAGATCACCTGACGTAACCGGTGGACCGCAAGCAGCAGCCTGAAATGACTCAACCATTTTTGGGGATGGTAAAGTAGGGATAATTCTCCGTTTCATGTTTTCCTTTAGCACACTGGGCGTGAAACCCACGGCACTTTTTTACCTACGGCAGTCCATAAAGCCATTCATGAAGGCAGAGTGCCAATCAATTTATGGAAATCTGATAAAAAAATATCATCGTTGTTCTGGCACCACTAGTCTGGACGGTGCACGGTCTAGACTGGCGGTGTCAGTACGAACCAGCAATGGCCTCGCCACCGGGGCGGCGAGGCCAGCTGACTAGCGAGTAACGTCATGAGCAAAGTGCTGATTTGAGCACTCTGTTAAAATAAGATATTTCGACAGTGAACGCGCTGAAACTGCTGCCAAGCCCAGAACCGAAAGAAGAGCTAGAAATTTAGACAGCGGACTCACGCATTCACATTAATTTTAGTTCTGAATACGTTTTCCTATTTGCTTTTCTTGGCATTTCAACCACATCTTGGGAGTATTTCGCGAGTAGGATAACCCTATGGACACCAAATAAAATAGGTGACGGACTGGTTTGGGCAAATATTAAAGAAAAAACACGAGCGGGGTACGGGCACCGGTAAAATATTTACGAAGCTTCAGAATGGTAGCTCAAGAAATACCACACAAAATTACTGCGTGTACTTTTTCAGTTATGCTAACTGTATTCACACTACTTTTGCAATTGCCAACGTGACAGAATACTGTGACTGTAAACCTTTCTGAAACTGATCAATCAATTAGAAATAAAGTACTGAACAATTGCAAACTGTTGAGCAACGGGAAGGCACAACTGGTTAGACAGGAGTAGGGTGTTGGTGTGGCCACAGTTCCACTGGTCGGGGATGAATTGAGCAAAGGAAGGGTTCCCGCGAGGCCTCCATCCGAATGTTCTAGATCGGTGGCTGGCTGGTATCCCGCCGAGTTTGAAGAGTCCGGCTAGAAGTTGGGGATTCTGCTGTAAGCTGAGGGGAAGAGTCTGCTGTAAGTTTGGGGGATGGGACGAAGGCCCGGCTTGAACACTCAAGAAAAACGATCCTAGGACCTCTGAAGCTGCCTCGCCATCAGGCGCACATGACCCAGCCGAACTGTCCTGCGGCCAGCTCAGGACTTCTAACCGTATGTTTCGCCCTTAAAGGGCTGCCGCAGATCTCTCCAGTGGCGGTCCATAGTAGCTCCGCGGTCTGTCGACAGGTCGGTCAGCTTGGTGAGGGGTGCGGCGCTGCGTGCGGCCCGATGGCCCACCAGTTCTGGTTCGGCATCTCCGGCCCTCCGTGGGCCCGCAACTCCAGTTCCAAAGCCCAGGTACAGTACCGCCGCAGCCCCGCGCCGCTTCTGGAAAACCTAGCCCCTTTTTGTGAATCCCTGTCTCTTATTCCACTTTCTGGAGGTTCCACTGTGCTGACTAACGTATGTTAATCTGTTCTATCTCTGTCTCGGGGGAATATAAGTGCTGGTTGTTCCAGGAAACCGAACCCTGTTCCTTTAAAAGTTAATTGGGGAGTTAAAAAAATAACAAAATCAGTTTGGAGTTAATCTGCAGTCCAGCGGCATGCGTTGAAAAGAAGAAAGCAAACGACGGATAGGTGCAACCTGCTGTAGCATGGCTGAATCAGCGTTTGACATTGGGTGTAGCTTCTGAAACAACAGCCGAAGCAAGGCACACGCTGAAACAGGCCGCGGCACCCTGAAGCATGTTGGAGCGAAGCATATTACTTAACAAAGCACGTGTGTTTGTCACACATCTTAACAACATTATCTGCAGTATGAACTCAAACCAAGTCCGGCAGCGCATGCACCCAGACAGCGCAGGGTACATTACATGTGCATAGGCTTAAGGTTTGGGCGTTCTTTGTAACATGCTTGCAAGGAGATACGCCATCTTCATCTCATTCAGGTAAAATTACTTGCTGCCAGACCTCGACAAGCGAAGACCTACGACCAGGACCTTGGCTTCAGCTTAGCTCCAGGCGGAAGTCAACACGTTGAAGTGGTGCCCACATCACTGTTATTATGTTTTGGACAACAGTGCCATCGACCTTGGGCCAAAGCCAAAATGGGGCAAAGGTAGCATTCGTGGTGCTCTTTGTTTGATGAGTATTTTGAAACATTATTTTGCTTGTTTACTTTTTGTTGCGCGCATTTTTTGTGCACAATTGTCGATCCTTTTCAGAGTGCGGTTGGGGTATTAGGGATAAACCCAATCCCTTTCAAAAATATTGCAACTATATGCAAATGTTATAAAACAGAGCCAGGCAGGGCCATGGCTAAAATATTCCTCTTGATATATGCTGCATGTGTTGTGCGTACGGTGAGCGGTGGCTTTATGGTGCCTTTCAGCATCCTGCAACTAGTCACTTGTCAACGATAGTCTGACGCATACAATAACGTACATTTGTTTTATCTGTGAAACAATCAAAAATGCCATCGCATACCAGAAGTCACAGTTCACTGCAACGCTTTACATCTTATCAAGTTACTCATCAGCTTCCTGATTTTCCTTTATGAACAGGCACCATGCAGCGGTCATGCAGGGAAAGACCCGGAGACAAGGCTCGGCTGGGTGCCTCTCCCGTATGCCTGCCAGGATAGCGTGTTGCCGCCAGCCGGTAGCCGTGCAGCCAGCGGCGCTGACCTCGGTGGGGCGGACGGCTGTGGCCACTTCGCGAGGGAGCGTGACGTCACGCAGCTGGCCTCCACTGCCGCGGGGAGTGCCAGCTCGACCTTCGCGGCCGTGCAGGCCACAAATAGCCCACAGGGAGTGGCAGGGTCGGCACCGGTCCACACCGGGGCTGCCGGCGGACACGGCCGATCACGGCCCGCCCAATCCTGCACTATCCCTTCCCAATCCTGGCTGAAGTCCGACCCAACAGCGGCCAAGTTTCTGCCCAATCGCTGTCCGATCGCTGTCAAGTCATCGCCTGCCCAATCCAAGCCCGTCCCTGTCCAATTCCGACCCAGTCCCGTCCCGATCCCTGCCCAATTACTGCACAATCCAATCCCAATCCCTGCCCAATTACTGCACAATCCAATCCCAATCTCCGTCCAGGCCCGGCTCTAGGATGGCGATCAGCGCGGTCTCCCTGGCCAAACCATGAGCTTGCACGCACCAGCGATTTTACAAGGGATATTCCGTGTAATCGAAAGCCATTCGACCCCGCAGCGCGTGCGCGCTCATCTGTTCGGGGCTTGAGACACCAGAAGCCTCTGACCGTGTGATCGAAAGCAAGACCTTGATGAAGGTGCGCCCATCCCATCACTTTCTATGAACCGGCAGGTGGATTGTGGTTCCCATTAGCAGTTCTTCCACCTTCTGAATGCATAGGCAGGGAACCAAACAACTGCAGCAAAGAACTACAGCAAACTGCAGCAACACGAAAAGTTCCTAGCGACGACTTTTCAGCAGCGGATATATACATCCATCTACGATCGTGAGGCTGCTTCTATTTTCGGTGCTGGCCGGTTGGGCGAGCGTGACCTGGTGACTTCCACGGCCTGACGGCAGGGGCGCGGAGTGGAAGTCTGTCCGGCCCGGCTCTGGAATGGCGGCCTGTCCGGCCCGGCTCTGGAATGGAGGCCTGGACAGCGGGCTGGGGCGAACACAGCCCGCCCGTGACTCACGACACTCGGACACCGGATCGATCCGAGGACTGGCGGGCTTGGAGCTGTGTTCGATTTAAGAAGCGCCGCCCATGCAACAGCTCGGTTTGGATCGATCCAGGTGAATCATGGCTTTCAACCACGGAGCTCGATCAACTCACAGTTTCACTTAACCCTGCCAAATACATGGGTTACAACAAGGCGTCTCACTTTCAATAGTACTTTAAAAGTGCGTGTAAGGATACCAAACATAGGCCAAGCACGTAATATCTTGCAAGGATTGTTGGCAATGATCGGGCGTCTAGCTTGGTGTTTTTCAGACAATCACTATGGTCTGAGAGCTAGAGATGCAGGCCTCCGTCTCCGCGCTCAGCGGCTCAACACGCCACTGGCAAGACATTAGCAGGTGTTGGTCATAATGGAATTTTGAGAAATGCGTGCGTGTTCAGGGGACTGTGGTGGAGACATCCTGCTAGGTAGACGAACACTGGTCGAAGAAAAAAAAATCCATATGTTCAAGTAACTATCATATAAGGAAACATGTTTATAACTTGGTATACACATCACAGCCTCCCTAAAACTGATATTTTAAATGAAACACCCTGCAGAACCAAAGCCAAGGTTAGGTAAAAAAACAACACCAAAACGTTGATATGTTTATTTGTCAACAAACTTTTCGCATTTTGTGGCGGCATCGTTCTTTCGTTTTGTTCTCCCTATTCTATTCGGTTCGTTTGCAGCGTCAATATAGTACGTAATAGCTTAGTAGACATATGATAGCTTTTACACGCGCTCGGGTGGGGTGGGGGTCAAAGTGACCTCCCTCAAGGTTTTTCCAAAATGGTTTCCGAACGGCGCGGCGTAGCCGCGCCAAATTTTGCATAGCTGTAGACAATTGAATAGCGGATCGTTTGACATAAAAAATGTAGACGTACCTTGTAGGGTCACTGACCTATGGCAGTTCAAAACCAGGCCATGGTTTTAGCGAAGGCAATTCCCATGGAATCGTCCAATCTGATACAAAAACGGCATGTTTGACGAAGCCATGCATCTCTGAGATGCTTTCTTAAGCACTACAAATATTGAATGAGCAGTTGACCTAAGGTCAGGCATGAAGGTCAGACCAAGGTCACAGCCAACCTGATTGATTACTCTAGGACTTGCTGTCTGGGATAGTTTGTGGTGCTCATTTCGAATTTATTGACAGCAGGAACCGCATCATACATCTTCCATTAACTTCTTAGAGGTCAGAAAAGGTCATTGGCCTAAGACGACTCGGGTCGACATTTTGTTTTATGAACATACTGCCTAGCGTAACCTTTGACACTTATTCAAATGCAAAGCTCACACCAGTCTTTTAGGATTTTGGTCCCCATGACCTTCAAAAGGTGAAATAAGGTCACTAACCTCAAATGGGCTTTTGACCTTTTGCTTAGAAACAGTTTCCTAGGTTCTGGGGGCACTCAGGAGACCGTCATATAATTTGACCTTGTTTGACCTTATTTAACCTGAAGATTATGGCCTATGCAACTCAAACTTTGACCTAACTGAGTGCACGTACAGGTCAAGACACTCTGCAAATTTGGCGTCTCTAGCTTTCTCAGTCCCCGAGATCTTAGGGGGGGGGGGGGGTGATGCGAGCCCCACCCCCTGGCGTTTCTAAGGTTAAACAGATGGAGCTTAGAGGAAACACCAATGGATTAATCTCAACGAGATTTAATGATAGTTACTCGCTTTCCATGTTGTTGGTATAATAATTGATCCCGTTAGGGTAGCTTCAAAGGTCTAATTTTCTTGAAAATCGCACTTTTTCAGCTTTACACCATACACCGTACCAACGAGACCATCCTCTGTGGCGGCACGAAATTGGAACAGACATGTTCCTTGTTGAATTGTATGTACAACTGCGTACATTTTGTGGTTTGAGTATATATGTATGAAATGTGGGTCCGTTAATGTAACAGTGCCGGTCCACCGCGCTCTCCGCGGCATCGTCGGTTCCGCCCGCCGCCCGCGCCGGCCGTAGATCGTCGAGCAGTTTAGAGCAGGTATAGACCAGGTCCTATCCACAATTAAAGGTTCTGCTTTTTCTAACATGTTCCAGCATATGATCTATCACAAAACTTAGACCACTCGGATCACGTCTCAAAATTTCCCAAAACCTTGAACATAAAAATTTTCTTGAAATTAATATCCTAGCTTTATTAACAGGATATATTTCTCAAGGGCATTTTCAAATATGGCACTTAAATGTGCCAGACCTATATTAGAAGGCACTGCGATTTGATACAGCTCTAGGCCTGTGGCATCAAGCTTTTCCTTATCGGCAAAGCATGTCAAAATTGTCCATTGATTGTGGCAGCGGGCCCGAACACTGCCCCCCAACGCATTACTCTCTTAATTCATGTGTGGCACTACCGGTCAGACAAGCTTACCTTGAAAAGGAAATCTTGCCAAAATTCAAACACTTACCCTTCTATGCTGATTTCATCCACGGAAGTTACATAAACCAATACACACAACAATGAAATTTTGCTCATTTGCTATCCCAACCAACTATTGTGAGATGTGGCCAGTTTCCAACGTCTTGTACAAAAATACATAAACCAACTTCACAATGATGCTTTCCCATACTGGGTCCTGATGATTAAATTTTATTATCAGCTGTGAATTGCAGTGAACTGAACATCTCCACATAATAAACGGACAAACACTCAGAATCTAAATGCTCAGCCCCATATCCTACTCAGCCATGCACACTACACATATCGTTGGACAGGCACATATGCATAATTGGGTATGACCTTTCTACATGCCCCGACCAAGGTTTGTAGTAGCTAGCTTTCACTAACAACTCAAGCAACCCCCCGAATTCCACATTCAGATTTATCTACGCTTACCAGCTCCTCACAACCGCTCCCGCAAAACACATACCGGTGTAAGAGCTCAGATGATTGACAGTGGCCAATACCGTAATGGCGCATTTAGGGCAAACCGCACCATTCCAACAAGAGTGAAGTTATGCACAAAGAACATAAGTGACTTCATTAGTTTGCAAATTATTTTTGATGTATTATAACTTTGGTTGTCGATCGAAAATTAAGTAGGCATATAGTAATTGATTGTACTAATTAGCTATGTAACTTACATGACTTCCTCTATGAACAACGCTTATCCTCAACATGAGCTTGACGATTACATGACGTCGTGAAGGTTCATATAATGAGTTTACGTCTTCAGTGAGCGGTCAGTTTTTACACTGAGGAGACAGTGTAGTAAGGACGGGGAGCATTTTGATAACTGAACTAAAATGCTCCTTCAAAAACTTTGGAGACAGTGAAATGCGTTCATGAATTGTCCACAAATTGTCTCTCCCACACAGGAGTGCTGAAAAAGGCTTAGATTACTAAAACAAATGAAAGCACACTCTTTCGGTGCTGTCATGCGCGCAGTTTCATCGCAATCGACGTTTCGTGAAAGAATGTGTTCAGCAGAACTTTGAACAATGAGAGCGATGGTGTCTCTTTCCATGGAAGGCGGGCATTCATGTGGGCCTCTCACACTCGTGAGCGAGTGTGCGCTTTTTTCCTCCGGTCCTCGGTGCGGTTCAGATCTTCAGATCTCCACCAACATTTATTTGCAAACCTGTATGGAAGCATGAAATGGAAAGACATGCAAGCATGCACATGCACATTACACACATTCAGTATGCATGGTCTTCTCACCAACTCACACGTAAAAGATGCGCAAGCCTTCCGTTCCCTGGGTCGGTTCTCGTCAAGAGCCATCTAAGGGACTCAGCCATACCACACTAGGGCCGCAGGGGAGAATGGAGGCAGCTGTCCATCCTCCGGCAGTGGAGAATGGAGGCAGCTGTCCATCCTCCGGCAGACCAAGTTTATAGGCCGCCCCAAATCTCGATCGCGGAGCAAAAACGAGCATCCGACAAACCTTCAAATTAGCTCGCCCGGGCGGTAGGCAAGCATGGCCAGAGCCTTCAAAAGGGCTTAACGCAAGCGAGGTGAAGAGCAAAACAGGCCGCTGTACTTTCTGAGCACAACAGATCGGGCATCATTCCGTATTTGCGGGGCAAGCAGGGCCCTGAGAAGGGCTGTGTTGTACGCTCGCCGCGGCAGCGAGACAGCTGCTTTTAAGGCGATGCCTATCAGGCCTCCATGCGCTCAATGTCCACCGCGGTCACAGCTACTTGTGCGCTTCCAAAAAGGAGAGTCATGTCCACGATGGTGCGCCGCAGTAAAGCTTTCTCCTGCGTCGGAAGGCAGAGCCGGCACGCCGGCTGGTGCCAGAACGCAAAACGAATTACGCACACGGTGCGGACGTGCGTCCACGTGGGGCCCGCTGCGCAGCTGCTGATCGAGCACTACACCCCGACGCTCGGTCTGGGTGCACACGACCAATCGTTGCCTGCACTGACGCCAGTCCGGCATTTCCAGTAAGAGTCCGCCACCGAAAATAAAACAACGCCTTCAAGTGTGAGCCGGACCGGAATGAACAAACTCGAAACGCCACCGGGTGGCGAACTCTGGCATGATTTTGATACCAAGACGATACCCGGCACCTTGGAATTCCCCTACCCCTGGAACACCTCTCACGACGGTGTTCACCACCAGCACACCACACCACCAGTTCACCAGCACAGCATCCCGCTGATGCCTGGCAGTGAAAGGCACTGAAGGCGCTTGAGGCCGTTGTTTACGATGCTCACGCTGGGGCAATCATATTTGCATGTGCACGTGGCACGAACAACCAAACAAAAAGGTTCCCGACCGAGCACAGGATCTGGCGGCCTGTTCGGTAAGTCCAGACTCGTAGAGCTATGATCACGCTGTTCGGCGTCGTCGGACGCGTGTAACCTCATCAGACGCGTAAGTAAAACATCCCTGGTGTCTGAACACAACCGCTGATTTCGCCTCTCGCTGCTTTAGTTGGTTTGTTGCTGAAGTTTGTAATCACGAAGATACCGATACCTCCCGCCCTGGCTCCACGATAGTCTATGCCTGTTTGAGTTTTATTTGTCTACACCACCAGAAGCCGAAGAGGAGCCCCTTCAAACGGCTCGGGCTGAGGGGCTCAGTTGCAGGTTGTACTGCAGTCCGCTGAGCACCTACTCCTGCAGTATTCCTTGCGGGCTCCCAAGCTCCCATAGTGTCGAGGCCTCCGCCACTTCAGTGGCATCGGCTCATAGTCCTCTCGTCTAGTTTTCTCCACTGTCGGGTTTGGATTCCAGTTCTTCCAGGATTTGGGCGTCACACGCTCCTCGCTTCACTGGTGTGGCGTCGCCAATGTTTCACATGGTGTAAACGGTTACCACAACAAGAGCGCGTGTTTATTTAAAGTCTTATGACCGAAGTCGAGGCAAGAGCTGCATACCGCATGTTGGGCGACCAACAGATCTGATTCACTGTCAGGACGGGGGGTGGCTGTTGGTTGCGGTTGAATTTGTGCTTTGATTATCGTCTGATGTGGCATCACCGATAAGTTATATATATATATATATATATATATATATATATATATATATGTATGTATGTATAGCAAACGTTGCACATATATTCATATATAGCTTAATAAATATATTTGTATACAGCTTTACATATATACATACGCATATATATATATATATATATATATATATATATATATATATATATATATACACATATAAAGTTTGCGTAAGCGACCTGCTAACTCACCTGAACTCGGCGCATTATGCTTAATCGTGTAATCGCTTGTCACGTACACAGAGCAGATCGGGTAAATACCCGCATGTCGCACTACCATTAGGTCACGCGAGTGCAGGATTATGACAGATAGTGATGCATCGACCAATCACAGGTAAGCCATCCGGCTTGTGGGCGTGTGGTTTGTACTACCTGGATTCCTAGCGAGAGAATCTTTTTCCGCAGTTACGCGCCGTAAGGCCGACAAGACAAATTCACGTGAAAATAAAGGTTGATATAGCGGCAACTTTTCTATTTTCTGGAATGCACACTATTTTTACACGTCGCAAAGCCAGGAGGTACTATGCCACGGCTAACGCTCGAACCTGTGTGCCCGACGTGCCAATGACTGCTTTCGTCGCTGATGTGGCACAGGTGGGTTCATATTTTTTTTTTTTTACAGGATAACCGCAGGACGTCCGGTATGACCGAAGACAGCGATAGCTCTAAAATGTCACCTCCATCAAGGTGAGATTCAACACAGTGAGATCGCTCCAGACTAACTGTTTTACGGTGATCAAATGGCTAAACATCAACGTGTGACATCATCCGGGGCTTTCTGCAGGGCTCTCAGATCATTTCCTCTCTCTTCTCTGTCTCCCCCTGTCTCCCGTTCTCTTTCCTTCCCTCTCCATTCACCACCTACGCCTCGTCTCGTCTCACGCTGGCCGTCGCTCAAGCTCTATCGGTCGGGATGCTCGGGGCGTCCCTAACCGGGCACAGGGGGCCCAGAGACCTCAGGCCGACTCTACGGCTGTACCATATCGTGAGACTGTTATGCTCCCGGAAAGGGAGCCCCCCCTACCCCCGTCCCCCGACCGACGAGTGTGTTCCCGGCTCATGGTTGGCCGACGTTTTCGAATGTCAAGTCCGTCTTGCCTTCGATCCTCTTGATCATCCTTCTTAGTACCGGCTACGTCTTTTTGTGCGAAAACCGTCAGTAAGGTTCGCCGCAATCAAAAAATGTCAGCTAACCATGGCTGTAACTTGTTCCAAATTTTGTCCGCTCCGCTTCGCAAAAGCTATCTTGAAAGCCACCTCACCGATTACCTAAGTGACAGTAAGATAACAAGGGCTCCCACAGGGTGCCTACCATGTCAACTTGGTCTCATGAGGTGGTGAAGGCAAACATGATACCTTCGCTTCAAGTATGGGTAATAAAGTAGGCGTCGGACAACCGTAAGTCACCAATCTACACAACGTGCATAACACCACGTTTCACATGCATCTGAAATATGCCTCTTATAAAATTCCGATGAAAATTGTTTCACGGCCAAATTCCCCAACTGCCACGGCATCCGTAGCAGTAGCAGTAGCAGCAGTAGCAGAACTGTCGCCGGGCGCCGAAGCGGGCGGGGGCCTGGAGGCGGCGACGGGCGGTGTTATCGGCTGGGGCTGATGGAGCGGTCGGCTGGGGCCCGTCCCCTCTGCTCCGCTGATCGCTCGTCGCACAGCGCACCTGTCACACTAATGGAGCCATCGGCGACGCCACCACCGCCGCACAGCTGCCGTGGCGGGCACCGCCGTCCCATGCAGCCCACGGCGAGCGGTGACGCGGCGAGCGAGGCGTGCCACGCCGAGGTACGTTCGCTCGCGCGTTCGGACAAGTTCAGTTCACTTCTTTGTTGCGGAAATTGTTCTCAGGGAGGCACGTTGTGAGACGTGTAACCAGCTGGATGGAAGCAGACGCGGGAGGTATCAATGCTATCATGCAGGTAATGTAATACCCGAGCTGACGATACCAGACACGTTCAGATGATTACACAATGGACCGGATGAATGCAAGACTTCGCATTGATCTGTTCACTAGGAGAGTACGCATTGGCATGTTCAGATGATTATACAATGGACCGGATGAATGCAAAACTTTGCATTGATCTGTTCACTAGGAGAGTACGCATTGAATTGAAAAATTCGTCTTTCACGAGAGTTTAGCAGGTGGGGGTTCGCTGACGCTAGCGCACTAGCCCAGCAATTACATTGCCCGAAAACTGCCGGTCGTGGGTCCTGCCGGCGGTGCCAAATTTAGCCGACAAAATTGAGAAACCCATGGTAGTTTACGGTTTGGACGGCTGTGTCGAACGTTTAAAGAAACGCACATAATTTGACGGCATATTAGTCGCAGTAACCTGCGTCGTACGCCCGAGTTGCTGTCATGGCCCAATCTGCCTCTCTCGATTTAGGTCTCAGCAGGGCCGGGCAAACCCAGTTAGAGTTTACAGGGTGTTCTTTTAAGAGGTTTCATTCCATACAGCACTATAAGGTTCAGCTACACTTTTCCAGGGCTTGGATGACAACTCCACCTTTGCTCGTCTCTCAGCAATCTACCGTCACTGGCCACAACCTCTTACATTGAAGACCGCTCCCGGAAAAAGCACACACTGGCTTAGATATGGAGCAAAATACTGCCGTGATGAAGGGAGCATTACTGCGTGCTTGCTTCCCACAGGGATAATCAGAGCACAACTTCGCAGAACTATTACCGCGTGAAGAGAAAACTTCTAGTAAACAGGTGAACAACTAATCAGGAGAGTACGCTGAAGCTTCCGACGTATTTAAACTATTCAGAACTATGCGACGTACTAAACCAGGCAATTGCGTTTAAATATTCGAGAACTCATTTCCTTTAAAAGCTATCCTAAAGTACTGCGTGTCTTGTCCCGTAAATCTGCACCGTACTGAGATCGGTGGTCGCTGTGATATTGGCTTTTGGATGGCATGGCAGCCGGGCCACACCGCCCAAGTTGAAAATTTATCTCCATCAGGACCGGCGCACGGTCCAGCCCGGGTGCCGGGGAGCGTCCGTGGCGTGCCGGTGCCGGCGGCGGGCGGCACCGGTGGCGTGCCGGCCGGCGGGGCGGGCCGGGCGGCTGGCGCGCGCCCAGGCCGCTGATACCGGTGCGGTGCACGGCCAGAGCTGCTGCGCCGGTGCCGCCCCGCGGCACAGTGAACCGGTGGCCGTCGCATGCCCGCCGCAGTGATCAATAGGCGGTGTCGGCGGGCGGGCGGCGCGCCGTGTTCGCCAGCCGTGTCGGCCCGAGCAGGCCCGCTGGCCGACCCCAGGTCACCGGCCACGCCCGCCACACCAGGTGCGGCTCGCAGGCGCGCGCTCTTTGTGTTGCACGAGGTAGCTGACGCTGCGTTTCGACATGGGCGAGATTGGGAGCGAACTTCAGAGCTTTTACCGGTAAAGGGACTAGTGTGATGTGTTTTCGCTCGTTTCTTTGGAAGTTGATATTACAGCTGTGGCGTGTTGTTTTTAGCCTCTTGGCTTGGGTCGGTTTGTGTTCTTTCGTTTTTGCATGAATTTTCGACGTCGAAAGTAACAAACTGCTGCATGGCTGGGCTCATGTATTGCCACTTTTTGGAGGCAATGCAATTCAACCAATGCACAAAGGCATAGCGTACAGGAATAACTGCGGTAGCATGATGCACTACCATTGCCAGGCATGGACTGAATGTCACCATCAACACTTTTGTTCTGAGTCGGGGAAAAATTTTCGGATGCCGCGCTGAAAACCTATTTAGCCGGGAGTGGGACTTGCAGATAGTAAGAGCAAATATGTACTTGGGGTTGAATCACTTATGTATGCTTTATGGCAGATGTTGCGAAAAGATTTTGACGGATTTTTGTTTTGGCAATTGCTGTTTTGGGCAATGATTTGAATCACATTCTTGTTTGCCATTACTAGCGCGCACGCAGCTTTGAGGAAAGATTAGCCGAATGTGCTTGACCGATTCGTGTCAAATCAGGCGTATGACCTAGAAATAACTGTTTTGCCGTACATTGGTTTAGATCACCTTTTGTTCGTCATTTGATGCAGATTGCCTCTGTCATTTCACGGAAATAGAGCCAATTTAGACGTTAACGAAGAATGAAGAAATTAAGCAAAATCACTATAGGCATTGAAGCATCTTACACACTTACTGGGTCATCCAACATGACCAGTCATAACTTGTCAAACTACGTACTGACTTTTGCTTCGTTGTCGTGGCTATGAGTGATCAGGCAGGGTCTTCCATCCCTTGGAAATGTCGCGTCCGTCCGAAGGAATTACCTACGCAAAAGCATCCTCTTGAACCGTAAGACCTCTTCAGATACTTCATGAATGCTTGTAGTTTCTTTAAGCCTGCTCTGCCGCGAATTATCTGTAATATTAACAGTTACAATGCAGTACCGTATGAAAGTACCCGTGCCGTATTCTCCAGGCCCATGAGGCTTTCCGTGACTTTTTGCTAGCGCTGTCTTCGCTATATCCGTTCTGAGGCCCGAAAACTGTTCCGTCCTTCCAATACTATGGCACCCAGCGTCCATTTTCGGAGACCCGAGAAATGTTGGCGGGCCGGTTACAGTGCGGCCGGGGATTGTGAACGAGTTTACAAATATGATGGCGATCAAGTCGTGTATTTGTCGAAGCGTCTTAGCCTGACAAAAGCCCCAAGGGTGTGATTATGGATGGAGCGTTCCACACATACTGTGAGGGATTCGCCCCCCGTCCTCCCCCAATGCACACACTAATGTCCATAAGCGTATTGATGGGATTTTTATGTTGGAAATGGGATCACATTTTCTTGATGCCAGTGGGATTTTCTTGGCAGACTCTGCCTGAAATCTCGTTACCCCATGCCACCCATCTTCTAATGAGCTCGGCCCCTGGATATGTTCGAGTTCAGAGCACAGGGCCATGTGGCAGTTATTCATGCGTTAGCAAAATCTCAAACACCCATCCACGCCAGTTTAAATCATTCGTTTCATTCCCATATCTGCGCGGGTAGACAAAAGCCACGGGAACAAACGTTCTGTATGACGTCATTGTTTCGCGCCAGTACGTCAGCCGAGTGGCAGGCGGGTTTTCATGGGCGGACAGTTGTCCGTCTGCTGCAGGGTCGCGCCTCCCCTCCCTCCCCTCCCCACATGCTTTATTCAGCAGGTCAGTCGATAGCATGAGCGAATGTGGCCACTCACTCGAATTCGTTCACTGTGGTATCGCGGGCGACAGAGTGGGTCGCCGGGTCAGGTCAGGCAGCGGGGGCCATAACCCGCCGAACCACCCATGTCGGCAACTTGTGTAATGGGGCCCGGCTGTGCGGGGGCCGTAGACAGTTCGCCCCGCGTCCAGCGGCGGCGGTCTCCTGGACTGGCCGATATTCGCGCCGGCCCAGTCGTTAGACCAGCCAAGGGTGTAGGACCCTAGTCAGTTGCGGGGGAGATTCAGTCTTCCCAAGTTGCAGCTGAACTCCCCAGCTTGACACCCAGTCTCCCAATTTGAGAGCACAGCTGGTGAGAAATTTCAAGCAAGACAAACACTACAGAAATAACGCCTGAAAATCCACGTACAACATGAAGTATCTAGATAAGGTTTCAACCAGCATCAATCAAGCATGATATTATGCAACCGTCAAATACCATACAACTCTTCAAGCACGCATGCATACTTTCCCTTTTCTACCACGCCCAACAACAAACT